CCATTTACATTTAGGGTGATTATCAATAGGTGTGTACTTATTGCCATTGCAGGCTTTAGGTTCATGGTTACGAAGGATTCAAGGGTAATTCCCTTACTATCTAACAGTCAAAGAGGAAAGAATTTTATAGACATAATTAAAGCTCCAAATCAGTTGGTTTTGGCTTAATCAAAAGGGAGATCACTCTGGAAGGGACCGTCTTAATCATGTGAAAAGCGTTTCACAGAAGCCCTGAGCCCTCGGAGGGAAGGGGAGATGGCCTCCTGCCTGCTGCCCTCGAAAAAAGCAGTCAGCTTGTAAGCTGTGCAGGGGGGCCTGTAGGAGTGGAGGGCCTCAGGCCACAACTACTGGAAACTGAGCACTAATACCCACAGAGCTTGAACGAAGACCTCGAGCTCCAGAGGCACGTGTCTTAAGTGCAGCCTGGAGGGACCCAGCTGATAATCCAACTGAACTGCACCCAGACTTCTCATCTCTAGAAACCATGAGATGATGTGTTTTGTTTTAAGCCACTATGTTTGTGGTAACTTGTTACACAGCAGAAAGCTAACATGCTTTCCTTAACATAGTATGACACTTCCTATACTTACTATTCTCCTGCTTTTCCTTCGGAGAGCCTGATATATGAGTAATATGAATATTTGAGTGATTCCTCTCCCTGACTCTAGGATGGAGGTTTCCAGAGGGCAAGAAATTTGTCTATGTTTTTCTCCTTGCTACATCAAAGCACCTTGAGCAGTGCTTGCACCGAGTAGGTGTTCAAGAAATATATCACAAAAATTTAATAGCACTGAACTTTTAACTTTCAAAGGCTATATCTCAAATTAAAGTACAAGGATTGCCCTTAGAGGAGTCCAACAATATACTGAGAGATTCAAGAATTCTCAAATATGAAAAACACTAGGTTAAATACCTTATAAATGTTTAAGGAAAAAAGTACACAAACAATTAGGCCTCAATGTATGTTTACTGAAAATTCATTTCCGTTTTTTAAAAGTGTATCTAGATGGTTGGATTCAGGAAATATATATACCACTGGTACGTTTTAATTTCAGCAATACTTATAATAGATCCTTTTATCATATATTTCTGAATAGTTATGTAAATGTCCACTGAAAGACAGTAGAGTCAACAGGATTTGTTTCTGGTTGAGCAACTGTACCAAACAATACTAGTTAATTATTAAAAGCTACTCAGAATGTGAGTGGTTTCTCATAGATGCCAGTAGGTCTTCCCAACTTGAACTGTTGAACATGTTAACCCATGTTTTGGATAAAGTTGTAAAAAGTAAGTTCATCAGGTTGCAACTGACATATATCCATATGTAAATAATATGACACATTGACAATCCTGAATGAAATATATACTCATTATTACAATGATAAATGTTAAGACACACAAAGAGTTTTAAAACACAAGTTGCAGTTCAGAATTAGGCTTGATATTATATTCTTAAATGATTTGTCCGAAAAAAGGGTTACCATCCAAAATATATAAAGAACTCATATATCTCAACACCCAAAAAGCAAATAACCCAATTAAAACATGGGTGGAGGGCTTGAACAGACACTTCTCCCAAGAAGAAATATAGAGGGCTACAGGCACATGAAAAGATGCTCCACATCGCTAATCATCAGGGAAATGCAAATCAAAGCCACAATCAGATACCACCTCACACTAGTCAGAATGGCCACTATCCAAAAGACAAGAAATAAAGAAATGAAAAGCATTGGCAAGGATGTGGAGAAAAGGGAGCCCTCCTACACTGTTGGTGGGAATGTCAGTTGGTGCAGCCACTGCGGAAAGCGGTATGCAGGTTCCTCAAAAAACTAAAAACAGAAATGCCACAGGACCCAGTAATTCCACTTCTAGGAATTTACCTGAAGAAAACAATATCCCTCATTCAAAGACGCATGCACCCCTATGTTTATGACACACTATTTACAATAGCTAAGATAGGGAAGCAATTTAAGTGTCCAGAAGGGCTCTCTAAATAAAGTTATTTGATATTTGATATTTGAGTAGATCCCTGATGGAAGTGAGAAATCAAGACACAAGGTTGTTTGGAGGCAGAGTAAACTGACTGCATTCATTCTGAGCAGGAAACATGTCATAAGCGGGTATAAAAACAACCAGGGGACCAACGTTGCCAGTGTGATAGGGGATGAATGGGTAAGGAAGAGGGTACGTATACACAATGGCATATTACTCAACCATAAAAAAAAAAAAGAAATTCTGCCATTTGCAACAACATGGATGGACCTAGAGGGAATTAGGATAAGTGAAATAAGCTAGGTGGAGAAAGACAAATACTTACAATTTCACTTATTTGTGCAATATTAAAACAAAACAAAGCAAAATGAACAAAATACTAATACACTCATAGACACTGAGAAGTGACTAGTGGTGACCATGGGGAAGGGGTTGGAGTGCGTGGGAGGGGAGGTAAGGGGGAATAAAAGGGAATAAAAATTCTCAATCATAATATAAGTTGGTCACAGGGATGGTAGTACAGCATGGAGAATAGAGCCAGTGATTCTATAACATCTTCCCATTTTGACAGACAGTACCTTTCCTAGAGGGGGGTGAGGATTTAATGATGTGGGTAACTGCTGAACCACTGTGTTGTAGACTTGAAACTAATTCAAGATTGTGGATCAACTATACTTCAATTACAAAAAAAAAAAAACACAATTAGGCTTGATAGCCCTACAAATGGAAAGAACAAAATCAGAGGTTTTGTTAGGTCAGGCTGAATTGTCACCAAGGACATGGCTATTCCAAATGGCAATGAAAACGTAGGCTTATCTAGGAAAAATATGCAGTGTAGTTGAAAAAAACATCACACAATCTTACTATCATATCCCATCTTGCCAAGACCATTTCTGGAGGCCTGCTTTCAAATACAGGTGTTGCATTTAAAAGGGACATTAAACCAGAAAATAACTCCATGAAAAGAGTTCTGAGGTCCAACAGACTTTGGGGTGAGCATAATACAAATTCCTTTCCTACTGAACTTCTTAGTACGTTTAATACATTAAAATTCCTTATGATTTCCCAGAAAGTACGTATGTGCACAGAAAGATGGATACTATGCAGTGTTTCTTAACATATTTGCACATGGAACCCTTTCTTCCTGGAGCATCCTGTATACTAGGGATCTAAGCCACGAACTCAGGGAACACGCACCATGGCCTATGAGCAAAAGGTAACAGAGCAGGTGCACAATGAATGTCAGCGAAGGTGAACAGCCAGGACTGTGAAAGGGACACAGAACCATAGTGAGAAGCAGGGCTTAAGTTACCTGCACTGTATGCCTAGGAAAAGAGAACAAGCCTTGTAAATATACAAACAGCTCTCAGAAAAATGGAGAAATGCACTTGTTCTCCATTGTTCTAGTACCTAAAGCAAAAGAGTATCTGGATGTAAGGCTCAGCAGTGTGTGCTTTAACACACTCTCCAGGAGACTTGTAACCGGAGAGCCTGACACTTGCTCTAAAGGGCAGAATTTGAGCCCAAGGAGCCCAGACCAGAAGAGGAAGGCCAGCTCCATCTTTAGGAGGAAGATAAACCCGAACAATTTAAAGCTTTTCAGTGTCAGAGGGGTGATCACAGAAAAATAATGAGCTGGAGGATACACAGGGGTTGGGTATATATCCAACAGGGACACTAAAGAAAACATTTCTGCATATATAAGGCAGGAGATGGGATGATTGGATTCTAAAGGTCATCTCCAAGACCGTGACCTCTGCAGCCTCGCTCACCCCTGCATCTCAGTAATGGACACTGAGCCCGGCACAGAGTGGGCTTCTCATAAACATTAGTGCAATGAATGAACAAATGAACAAGGGAAAAAAATTAATGAAAGGAGTACCTGGCTCCCAAGGGAACAAAAAGGGAATGGGGCTACTTTATTCTTTGGAGATTGCTAAGTACATTCACCATGGACCATAATCAAGGCTACTTTCAGATACAACGAAAATCTTCTTGTAATAATTTCTCTTCTAGATGGGGAAATCAACTCTGAACTAAATCACACCAAGGGTTGTTATGAAGTTTCCCTGGTAAGTAGGTGATATGCACCAGATTGTGGATGACCATCAGAGGGAAGGGGAGATTACGGTGACAATAGTCTACCCTGACAGACCATGATAACTCAAGGGGCTGAACTCTGACCTTGAGAATGAATCCACTTTTTACACCCTCAACTCTGAAAATGATCCATTAGCCATGAGTTTTACTTGTTTAATTGTCAAAGCAGAACATGTATATAAACTTACTTTAATTAAAACACCTTCAAAAATGTGACAGTGTTCTGACTGACCCAGTAAATTCAGCTGTTTGCAATTAAGTTTAAACCAATTTCTTTTGTCTTGAGATACCCTATTCTTAAAAAAGAATATCCATTGAGATGGACCTTAAAATCTGAAAATCCTTGAGATGGAGACTGGTTTCATTTACAAGATACAAAGACTATCCTGCCAGGCACTACATTTGTTTCCATTTCCTAGAAGACAGAGGATTCTTTCAAAATATACCTGTCATTTCTTCACAGTGGCCGATCAAACCTGCCACTGGAAAATGTTCTGAACAGGCAACTTGTAGTACAAGCATGGTTTATTTCTGTCAGGGACTGACTGCTGAAGTGTGAAAGAAACTCATTAAAAATCTCTCACTGTGATGTTACATTGTAAAAAAAAAAAAAAAGGAAAGAAAGAAAAGAAAAGAAAAAACCTAAGAAAGAAAAGGCGAGGGGAAAGCAGTTAATAAGGGTACACTGAGCCTGCAGACACCCTCGGATGGTGCCTTTTGTTTTTATTCTTCTTTAGTAAGCAGTTAGAAGAGAGCAGTTCGTCCTGGGAATGCACCATACCCTGGCTGTTAAGGGAAATCAAGTAAGTTAACAACTTTATTTTAAGCTAATATTATGAAAAGTTAATGAAGGAGATCAGACTACTGTACAGTAGGAAAGGCCATACAAACCAAATAATATTATTTACCTTAACCTTAAAACGAGGTTCACGGCACAGGAAGCTGCTTGACAGTCTTCACTAGCATTGGGTAGGCCCTTGAAAGACAGAACAGCAAAACAGTGTTGTAAATGTGCAAACAAATGAATGAACTCATGATATCCCTCAATTGATAAAGCTCTTTCTTTATGGAAATAGGTCTTTACACAAGATCTTATTTGGCCACGTAACACCTTTGTGTGAAGGTTGGAATGATGCCTAATTCCCATTTCAAGTGCAGATACAAAAGTTTCACACAGCAAGCCTCAGTCGTAGGAGGGGCACTATGGACAAAATGGCATAAACTTCAGTGAGTCCAAAGAAGCAGGATCAGCCGTCTAAAGGAGCGCCGAGTAACCTGAGCCGCGGACTAGACCCACTGGGCCTTGGGGAGGCACAAAGGTTCGGCACTTCAGGATGTGGAGGAAGACGGAACCTGATGGATGAGGCCACCTTATCCCTCCTGCCATTTTCATCTAGAACCCGTTTCCTTGAATGCAGATCATCGTCCATGAATGTGTCTACATAAACAGCCCCTCTCTACTCCAACGAACCTCTCGACATGAACAGACTTTCCTGTTGGAGCAGAAAAATACGGGATTTGGCTCTGCCACCGACTGATTATATAACCATGAGCAAGTCCTTCTCTGAACCTATTTTCCCATTTACAAACTGGACGTAGACCTGTCTCAAAAGTTTGCTGGAAAAACAAAGCAACATACATGAAAATGTATATAACATGTTATATAATATTATTTATTCTAATCCTTTTTCCTGCTTCTTTTATCTCCTTGACCCATTATTATTTCTAACTCTCCTTTTATCATTCACCCAAGCCCTACAGTTCACCACCAGGTGTTTCACTGAGTTGTCGGATGCAGTGTAGAGCCTGGAACTGAGTCCTGACTCCACCTCTAGGCACCTGCCCGATCGCGGGTGAGGCATTCAACCCCCGCAAGCCTTTCTTCCTCAGCTATGAACTAAGGGCCAAGGATTAGCTATCTCACCTCAAGCAGGCTTCCTGCAACCACAAAATTCTATCGCTCTGTCTCCTCAGTATACAGCTGCTTTCAGAAACACAGATCAGGTACCACAGCAATGAACTTAAGTGGAATATGCAAGCGGGGGTGGGGGGGGCGGGGGGGGGCTGTGATCCCAGGGCTGGGTGATGCTTCCTAACACACTCACTTTGAGAACCAAAGGGCCTGCCTATTAACTGCGCAGCAAAAGCAGATCGGGGGCCTGCACTCCAGCTCCATACCCATAGTTCCTCCCCCGCACTGCTCGGCATCCTTCATCAGCCCCCAACATCACTCACAGCACACTTTTTTTGTCATATAACATCTAATATAAATGTATTTCACGGTCACTGGGCTATTATTTTTTACAAGGCAAGTTGTAGAGATAAACTGGCCCATAAAATTCAATGATAAAAGAATTATGAAAACAGGTCATAGAAATCCAAACAAGAGCAGAGAAGTATCAATTAACTACCATGTTCTGTGGCTAGAATCTACCAAAGTGGGGGGTCATTTTATTTCCTTTGCTTATTTCACACAGTACCAGCAATCTCTGAAGCAGTCCAGTAATCAACTCTTGATCTCAAACCCATCATTTTAAAGGCTGGAGGCCCTGAAAATCACGGTCAATAGTCACAAGACTCTCTTCACCATACCTATTAAAGAACAGTTTACAAGCCCCTGATTTGGAAGCACTACCCTGAAATCGTCTTTCTAAAATATCGGGTTTTCTAAAGATCTATGTACAAAGCATGGTGAACATAAATGACGGGCACAGAAACGTACCTGAGAGTCCTGCACAGAAAGGGACTGAACCTGCTCTGAAACACTGCCGGCATTCACCGCCATCTGTGGAGAGAGCAGCCGTTACAGCACTGAGGAACCCAAAACCAAGGTCAGAGTGGTTACATTAAGCCCCAGTTATCAGAGAAAAATTATAAGTAATTTAAGTAACTTAAAAGCAGTACTTCTCAAAGTGTGGCCCTGTGCCTTCCTCACTAGACTCACTGGGACATGTGTTCAGGATCCCTGGGCCCTGCCTCGCCTATGATTCAGAATTTCACGGACACAGCAGAGACTCTGCATCTCTAATAAGTGCCCTGGGTGATCCTAATGCTCTTTGAGAACCACTGAGCTAAAGCGAAAAGGCACGAACTACTGGACATTTGACTCTTGGTAACAGAAAGATGCCCTAGGACCATTTTTTCTTGTCAAATCATTTCACCTAAAGTTAAGGGCCACCAATGAAAATGTTCAGATTAGTAAAACTTGCCCCTTTAATCATTACTTTGAATAATTTACTAAGTGGATTTTAGAAACATATAAAGGCAGTTGGATTTTTAAAACACACTTTCCCCCAAAAGAAAAGCCAGGGTGATAGATTGTATTTTTTTCTCTCATGACCCTAATGTGATACCAAAGATATTTTTCCTCAAGCCCTACTACTGTGAACTCTGCCCTTGACCAGAACTTGAAAGACAAAAGCCCTCAAAGAGAAACAGCAGTGAAAAGAATGAAACATACATATTACTTTCTAAACTATCCATTCTAAAATAATGGAGTCATCAGAAATTCTCTGTGACAAGAGTTTGCTAACATTTAAGACATAAAATTCATACTCCAGTTCCTCAAAAACAACTATGTTATTCAGAAATGAAGTGAATTGGGGGTTAGAGTACTGATGTCTGCAACTGACTTTGAAATGCATAAGAAAAATGAAGTGGACTAACGGATGTAAATGGTTGTGCATATGATAAAGCACGTAACAGATGGCAAGATCCGGGTGATAGGTACATGGGTGTTCACTATAAAAGGCTTTTAATGTTGCTATATTTTGAAAATCTTCATAGCGAAATGTTGAGGGAAAATGACTATGTGAAAAGAACCACCAGCCTGTATTCATTAACCAGCCAGAAGGTCTGGGCCTACACCAAATGATTTCTTGTAGTAAAGACTCTTTTGGGCTTGTAATGAGTGTTTTGGGCTCATTCCACAATCTTAAGGTTTGCAATACAACCAAAGCTATATCAGCACTTACAGAACAGCCAACCTTTAGTCAGAGAACTACTGTAATCTAGGAAACTTTGATGGCATGTGCTACAGGTGCCAACTCCTTCCCCTAGGAAAGCCCCATCTCCTGTCCTGCTCCTTCACTCTTGGTGGTCATCAGGACAGAGAGCCAGTCACCCGGACCGGGGGTTGGAACCCTGTGCCGCCGCACTGTGCAGCTCTAACCCTGCACGGAAGGAAGGGATCAGGCTCTGGCTCACGGGTGCACAAGCAAGACAAATGATTCCTCAGAACATGCGGAGAGATGCACAGGAGTGGGGGGAACGGAGTTCCCCATACAGACCATCTTCCTGGACAACCAACTCTAATCCCCAAATTTCACCATTGTGGACCCTGTTTTGTCAGTTTAGGGCAGTCTTTTGGGCCTATGTTTTTAAATGTATAAGCTTACAAGTAAAAGCTAACACATTAAGCAGATGTCATTCATCAACAGTATAACATAAACTGCCTATTGGAATTTTTGTTGTTTGCTTTTAAACAGTTTGTTTTAAGAGACATTTGAGAGAACGGGTATTTTGACAAGAGGGGAAGAGAAAAAGAGGAGACTAATGTTGGACATCACCCTGGAAACAGGCCTCTGGGATCGGGTAAAAGAAGAAAAGAACTTGGAATGAAGATTGGGACAACATCTGCTTTCCAACATTTCATAGTACTCTGCTCCATCTTAGCATTTTCTGTTTTTAAAAATACTGTGGCTAAATGCAATGTGTTATCCTAGATTGGATCCTGGGACAGAAAAAGGATGTTAGTGGACATACTAGTGAACTACAAATACAGTGTGAGGCGTAGTTGGTAGGAACAAAGCCCTGTTGGTTTCTTCCTTGTGACAAACGTACCTGGGCCATGTAAGAAATTAACAGTGGAGGAACCTGGGTGAGGAATGTATGGCATCTTCCAGTTTTTCTCTAAATCTAAAATTAGTCCAAAATAAAAGGCTTATGTTCATAAGTATGGAAGATTTCTGACAACTAGTCGGGAAGCCAATCCCCTGCCACCCGAATCCCTTGTAGGAGATGGTATCATAAACCTGTCGGGTTGAAAGCTGTCTGTGATGACTGATGCTAACTATAATAAATTCAGAGGGAGAAACCAAATCTTCCCCTCCATCTATAGATGGATATCAAACACACACATATGAGAGCTGACAGGCATTTGGAAAACATGATGTCATCAGAAATAACTTTAAAAAGCTCAAGGCAGTTTTAATAATCAACAGGCAATAGCAATGACTAACATAAGCTATAATTTTACCTTTCACATTGTGTCTAATCTCTAGGAAAATCAACTCAACCTAAACCCATACCCAATGCATCTTCTCCTCAGAAAAAAAAATTACCAGAATTAGGAAACAGAACATTTTCACAATTAACCTAGCCTAGACTCTCTTAACAAATATTCTTTAGTTTTTGGGCCTCAGTCAGTAAACCTTCCCACCTGGCTTCATTACACTTTCTAAAATAAGGACAACTTTTCCCTGGGCTTTGTGAAGCATCTTCATTTTCTTTTCTTCCTTTTTTTTTTTTGTTTTGATATTTCTTATAGACATATATTTAAAATAAACCTTCAGGGATTTCAGCACACAATCCTCGGGATTCCAGCATGGACTTCTGGATTCAGAGTGACTGGTGCAGTTTTCCCAGTCAGTGGTCCTTGATCCCAGCCACATATCAAATCATGTGTGCAGCTTTTTAAAAATCAGAATTGCCTGAACCTCACCCCCAAACTACCACATCACACCCGGAGGACTAGGTCTAGGCAACTGCATTTTTAAAGATTTTGTTTTTTCTGGTGTGGAGCCGGGATTGCAAACCATTTGTTTTCATATCACCTAGTGGAGGGACTGATATAAAAAGAATGCTTCCTAATAGAAACCTTACAAATGTCCTCCTTGGCTAAAAGAAACAAAAAGAAACTGAATTTAAAGTCAGTTTTAATTTTATATAGAAAATCAGGGAATGAGGCAAAATTGATTGTCAAAAATATAAAGCACGTATCATTTCAAGAGCCTGACTAAAAGAGATTCCGAAATTACTGGTCAAAAAGGAGATAAAAAATGAAATAGTAGTTGGAAGGTATTATACAAGCTAGGATGCCATATAAGCTAGGAAACCCTACTTTCCTTAGGAAGCCAGTGCTTGCAAATACCTTGGCCCCCTGTCTTGATCCCCACCCTCAGAGAGATAAGAAGCTTCTAGAGAGTAGGCTCTTTGCTTTCTTTTGTGTTAACTCCCACCATGCCTAACACAGTAGAAATCAGGCACAGATTAGATATATTTGTTTGATTAACTTCATTATTAGTATTATTGTTACATTATTAACCTCTAGTCACCACTGACTTCCACCACCCAAGTGGAATAATAAATAAATGAAATTGGCATAAGTCACCTACTTACTGCAAAGTGTTAATTACTAGTTGGTAACTGATTCTTTGAAAAGTTCTAAAAAAAGCAGGCTAGGAACACAGAAGAACCCATTTTCAATGGGTCTGGCTATGACTCTCAAGATAAATGGTGTAACTCTGGGACTTTATAGTTCTCCCTGGAAACTCTCTTGGACTGAGGGTGATCTCCAATTATTCCCCAGTACTGGGCATGCCACCCAGTGTCCTTTGACAAACACCCAGCCTTGGCCTTCTTAATCTTCTCTAATGCTGTAACACCTAGACAATCTGCCTTATTACATGCATTTCTAAAATATTCCTTTATTGCATCTAACTTCACCTGCACATGGAACTACTAAGGCTCTTTTCTCTGAACTTCAGCTCAATTGTATAACATGTTCTGATCTTTCCCCACTCCACCTACTTATAAATATGACGTGGCTATTCAGGTGCTTGTTTAATGTCTGTATTTCAGTGTGTGGGTATCCATGTCACCAGACACGTATACAGTGTCTACTGGATGCACAGGGAACACAAATATGAATAAAATACTATCCCAATCTTACAGTGACTTATAGTCAAGTAAATAACCAAACTGTGATTTAAATGACAAGCATTATTGAAAAGCTTATTAAAATATAAACACTCAGACATTTTTAAACATGCCATTTGGCAGAGATAAGCATTTTCTCCCTCAAAGGTATTTAAAGGCATAAAATATGCTATCAGAGGCTGTATATACGCAGCTTTTTTTTAGCTGTACTGAGTATAATTGACAAGTGAAATATAAGATATTTGCAGTGGTATACCTTTTGATAGCAGCTATAAAAAAATTCAACATCAGCTGACTGTCAAACAAAGCAATCACAATTCTACCTATTTATACTTTACCTGCATATAAGCCCCTCAAAAGACATACACAAACATATTAGTGGAAGGCAGTTTGTAAAAGCAACCTAAACGCTTACCAGGTAAGAAATAATGAAAGAAGCCATTTCAATCAACCCAAGGTGATGCGACCCGGCAGTTAACAATAAAGAGGAGAATCTACAACAACTAATGTGGAAAGATTTCAAAGAAAAAGCAAGTTGAAGAGAAAAAAAAAAGAAAAGAAAATTTATAGTTTTTATAATCTATTCATGTTTTTAAAATGATGTAACAGATTTATGTACTTATTTCAATGTGAATGAGCAAAAAAAAGTCTGGAAGAAAACATCGCAAATGGATAACCTCTGCAGAAAGACAGGACAGTCACAGGGAGAGAGGGTCCAGCAGGATAAAAGGGGTCCCTCGTTTTTTTCTTCCCTATTTAATGCTACCGTACATTTTACAAGTCTTCACGTGACCAAGCCATTTCAAATGACTGACCCCTGCCAGACTACCTGTACGGTCTACGCATTCCATCTTTCTCTATTAATCCTATTCCACTGTAACAAACACACACGTTATTACTTATGAGGCTACTGCATGCACTTTATCCACTCCCATCAAAATGAAAGTTCCAGGGGGTAGGGGTTTCACTCTGTTTTTCTCACGGAAGCGTCTCCAACACCTACTAAAACAGTAGGTATATATATATATACGTTTGCTGAATATTTACATATTCAACAATTTTATTTCCCTTTATAATAGATTAATAAAATGCCTTTTGCTTCATTTACAAACAGTGAATTGGGGTGGCTGGCAAATCAGGGGGCTACTTTACTTAAAAGCTTAAAGGACAGAGGAACCTTCACTGTAGCAGCTCTTACAAAGCCCACGATACTGAAATGCCGGTGTGCAAAAAAACAAAAAAGTGGCCTGAGAAGCTATACAACAGCAGGTGGGCTGATTGTTCCTAAAATTTGGGGGGAGTATTTACATTCAAAACATGTATTCTTTCACAAATATAAGTCTCTCTGTTTCCTTAATGATAAGCTAGTTTGGGGTCACAGATATACCACTGGGAAGTGCGTCTATATACAGGGAAGTGCTGAAGACTTTCAAATCCCACCCAAGAAGGTCAATAGTGATGCCTGGTGATCAACTGACAGCATGTTATTCATGAGTCTTTCCTATCCCTACAGGAAAAATACTTGCTCTAAAGATACGGCTATTCTCCAAATAACAAATCAGTTACTGGAGCAATTTCACCCAGCACATAGTAAGATATTGTCACAATAAACTTAACAAATCCTCATGAGGAAAGACCTACACCATCATTCTGCACAAGTAAGGCAGGAGTCACTGGGTGTCACCCCGTGAAGGTTCCTGCAGTGAACTCCTAACAAACGCTTTTGGAGGCAGTGACGCTCCCTGAGTCATGTTCTTTTGTACTTTTAGTTAGAGGCACTCTAACTGATGCTTTTAGTTAGAGGCACTGATGCTTTTAGTCAGAGGCACTCTTAGATGAAAAACCTTGACTCCACACTTCACTCTGGATAAAATAGCAAGTGGGCAAGAAGAGGGCAGAGCTGACGATACCTAGTTGAGATCATGCTCAAAACCTAGCGTGACATGTGTGCATGTGCCTGGCCTAGGCAAGGCCTGTCGATGTGCCATGAAGGACGGGAAGAGGCCAGAGGGAGGGAGGCACCACAGGGAAGGAGTGGCTGGAGCTCTGTTGTGTCTTAAGAAGGTCCAGTGGCTGTTGCCACTTAAAGTGAACTGATAGGATTTACCCCATTTAATCTAAAGGAAAATGCCTGGTATTTAAAAAAACAGTTGGGATGGACATCATTTGGTTGGCCCCAAAGTCTTGTTTTTTAGGTATAAATTGCTAGGTCTGTAAAATATTTGGAGCTATTTCAATAGGCTCAAATTTCCCGTAGAATTACCAACTCTGAACTTAGGCATTAGGATAATCAACCATAAGAGGAAGTAAATGTAAACAAGGTTTCCAGTTCTCACCAGAAAGCTCATCGAAGAGTACTCCCTGTCACTAAGTCACCCAGGGTATTTACAAATCTTGACCAACAGAGTCAACCTAGACTTTCTAGCCATTTTCATATCTTGCTTTATTGTCAACTAAAAATCTTGAAGAAGTTTCACCTGTATGCCTACTATATTTTCTACATGACAGTAATAACTGAGTTGACATCAACTGAGTACCTAGTCTGTGCCAAGGACTCCAGTGAATGCTTTACATATGTGGTTTCATCAATCCTCACAGCGACTTTATAAGGGTTTGATTATCACCAGTTCACAGGGGACGCAACTGAGGCTGAGACACTAAAGGAATCAGCCCCAAAGAAACTCAGACACGGGTCCTGCAATGTGCACATGCCATTTCTTTTTCTTTACTCCATGAGAACAGAATTTTGAAGTCTCTTCTCCAGTTGGATTAGACTCTTGTAACTGTGTGTGCATGTAGTGGCATTGAGGGGTGGGAGCTGGGGACAGTGGACAAAAAAAATAGGTGAAAATAAATAACTACCACTCACCTCTGGATTTTCTTCTTTCACTCTTCGTGACTGTAAGGCAATTATGTATCCATTACTATATATATACACACACATACAAAAGTACCACAAAAGTAAAATGTACACAGGTTAGCTTATCACCAATGGTATTTACCTTTTCTTGAGAAAAAGCTGCTTTTCCTTCTTCACTTTTTTCATCCAACTCGTCGTCACTCCACTCCCAGTCACCGTCTTCAGTTTTATGAAGGTGACCGCTTGACCCAGGAACTCTTCTTACCTGAATCAAAACAAACCCACCCCACTCTTCACTAGGCGAATATGACTAGTGTCAGCTCACGGTGCTACGCAGGTGAATAGCAAACGCCTTCCCTGAAAAGAACCTGTGGGTGTACATTCAGAGCTAACAGCAGTTAATACACAAAAGGACCACACAGCCTCCAGACTCCCACACTCATGCTCTTTCCAAAGGGTCTGCCTTCTTGAAATACATTACCAAGCAACATGTAGAATGAAAATATTTTGGAGGAATACCACACACATCAGCCATGAAGGATCAAGCCTGTCCTTCACTCATGCTTCAGTTTAACACTTGATTAATCACTATACATAAAAGGCCACATGGTAGGTATCAGAACTGCCCAAGGAAATGAACATGAGC